GGATTTTGTCTTCTACTTAACAATTAACACAATCAATAGAATGCTATTGGCAGTTCACTTTTGTTGGGAATTAGGTATACTGCATTTTACATAAGCTCTTCATATACGTGTATATATATATATATATATATGTGTATGTATATACTTATGTATTTTATGGTTTTTAACACTTAGTCATGAGTAAACTGCTAAAGGACTCATGAATTGTATTAATGCTGCTACACTAAAATAGTAGGTAATGTGTGTGTTTATATGCAATTAAGTGTAATTTTATGGAGATAGAGAAAAAATAATGTCACCACAAAACAAACATCTACCACCAGGGCATAAATCAGAAGGTGGGTTATTATGTAATGTGCTTTGGTTTTTTGAGGTACTGGCAGAAGTAAGACCCACGTTGTGTTGGGGTTACAACTCTGTCCAGTTTAACCTCCACCTCGCCAACCTCACATGCTTAGCCCACAATCCCACACATTTACCACCTTTTGCTGTCTACAGTGAGATCTGGAAATGTAGTTGCTCATGAAAAATGAATAAATAAAATAAAAATAGTAATATGAGAGAAATAATTAGAATATAAGACATCAATGGAGGAGACAGCAAAACTGGCCTTGAAGTTAGCATTCTAGTCTCCTGTATGATGTTTGGATAAAAATAGCAAGATGTTGTACTACCATACTAAGCCCACTAAATTATTAGTATAGCTCTAACCTTCCACTTTTCCATGCTGCTATCAGAATTTTCAATAGTTCTAAAGAGGTCTATACAGTAGCAGGTCTTATATAGAGAGGGTGAAACAACTTCATTAATCCACCTATAAAAGATATGAAATATCCAAGTAAGTAATTCCAGTTATTTCTCCTACAATAAAATTTAGAAATTATTTTTTGTTGTATATAGTAAAATTTTGTTTAAATTATATATTCTACCTACAGCTGACAGTCAAACTTTATTGGGCTTCTACTATGGTGATAACATTGCATTAATTTGAATATGCTTGTTACTGTGTATGTAATTGAGAGTTTGTGAATTCAAGGAGTATGTTTATAGTTTTGGTTTGATGTTTAGAAATACCAGTTTTTGAAATATTTGAGTGTTTGTGCTAGATTTCACAGTTCAGAATTTTCATGAACTTGGTTCTTAGAAATCTACCTGGAGTGTTTTTTTAGCAATAGAAAAAACAATGTTAAAAAACTGACTTGCCTAGTAATCTTGGATATTCAAGATTCAGACAATAAGAAAAAAATAATTGTGGTATGTGCAACAACCATTTCTTTATAATAGAACACAGTTTTAAATAAAAGTTCTCTCCTCACAACTTTTACTAGGACTATATGTGAGGGTTTAATTATGTCTTTATTGGTGTAATTTTGAAATGTAGTACTGAGAAACTGGCATTCTTAAAGAAACTATTATTTTTTCAATAAACAGTACCACTTTTAATATATAAAACATTACAGTTTATATCAGTAAAACTTGGAAAATGTTTGAATGGTTTTGTGCTACAGTTTAATATAGTGGAAGAGTGTGTGCTATATCTCATTTATAGCATTACTTTTTAAGCCCAACATTGCTGGGAACATTTGCTACTTATACATAAAAGCTAGTTGTTTGCTCCTTTGAATCACACAGCTTTATTAATACATTAAACCTGAATACAAATACTCAGTATTTGCAGTGGTGCACATTCAACAACAGCAATAACAAAAAAGTGATTGAAGACATAAAAAGGCTAAAAGTCATAAATAAATGAACCTATTCTGCCTATATCAAGACTTGTACCCATGTTCTATCACTGATTCATCAGATCAATCTAAATGCTGGAGCAAGATATATTATTGACAAAATGGCTGAATGAGAGGTTTTTATACTCATATTTCTGTTATATATATATCATAAAAAGTAATTGATTTATCAGTGAATTTGAAGCTTTTTTAAAATTCATTATAATTTTCATATTCTTATAGGAAAACTGGCGATGACACACCTCCTAGATTGGATAAAAGCTTGGAAGAAGTATTCTCAATCTGTAACCAGATTGAATTACATCTAGTATGTACAGAATAAGTTTTAATTCTCACTTCTCATTACAAAGCTCTTTAATTAGGGTATTTTCCAATATATAAATTTAAAGCCCCCCCCAGTGGCACAGCGGTATGTCTGCGAACTTACAATGCTCGAGTCTGGAAGACTTCTTAGGAAGAAAGGTTTTTTTCAATATGAATCTCTTATGATATATAACTCAAATATTTTACAAAAGTTACTACATCAGAAATTTACTTACTGGTAATAAAATGTGATCATAATCAATTCCGACTTTAAAACTTAATTTTCAACATATTTAAAATTTGTGAATTGTTACTTTTTATAGGAAAAATTGTTTTTAAGTATCAAAGAATATGACTGCTATATTGTTTTTTTTGCACATTTCTTGTACAATGAATGTATTGTTTTAATAAGATCTCATACCAATCTCCTATAAGTCCACATCCAGAAAATTGATCACAATAAAGAGTACATTTTTTTGCAATGTATGATTTTATTGTACTGATTTATATTTATATTATTTTCACTGTATGGAGTCTATAAGTAATTAATTGCATTAATATATTTCTTCAGACATAAAAAAAATGGTTTGCTTTTTTGTTGTTTTCTAATCTGTGGTGTTGCTTGTTGCTCTGTACAGAAAACAATTCAGGAGTGTTCACTACAGTTGCGAGACAGTCAACAATACCTTCCTCTTCCCGTTTTGACCACAAAAACAGATGTTAACCAGGGCCCTACACAGGACACAACTTTGTCTTATAGTCAGTATCTGGCTACTGTTAAAAGTCAGGTAGCCTTTGCTAAAAATGTACAAGAAATTCTTATGGAAGGAGCAAGAAAGATTACTCAAAATGAATGAAATATTGTTAGTTGGTAATTATTTTATGTCATTTATGGATTGTATTTAAAGTTGTCTAGCAGTGTTTCTCAACCTTTTTGATACCAGGGACTGGCTTGCTGCCTCCCTTAACATTCACCTACCACTAAAATGCAATACAGTGGAAAACCATTACAACTTAACACATAAATATTCTGTCAGTTTATGTTTGTTTTCATGAAATTCCATAGACCATTAAGGTGATTGTGATTGACTGGTGCCAGTTTGCACACTGGTGGTTGAGAAACCATAGTCTAGAAGAAGGCATTTTATTATCAGTTTGTGGAATATCTCTTTGTACCTGGATTTTCTGGAAATGTCAATTATAAAATTTGTATTGGCCAGTCTCAATGTTCTCTTATGAAAATAGATGAAGTCATCTTTGACAACCTGGGTTCTGTATAAGCTGTACAATATCATAGTGTAGGAACTTTGCTATGGTAGTTAATTTGTTTTAATAGAATTAGTATATTTTGTCATACATTAATAGAAGGTAATAGATCCAATTATGTGCTCTGTGCAGATCTGTTTATATAACAAATTGAAATAGCAGTCAATTAAATATATTTTGTATTGTAGCAATAAACAATAAATAGTGCTTAAACAAGCATTAACTTTAGATATATGTTGGCCACAGATTCATTAATTAGTAATTTACTATTTTAGTTTAATATAATATTTGGACTTCTTGTAGATTAGTTCTGGTTTGATATTTGATTTTTTTATGTACAAATGTCAAATAAATTATGATTGATAATTCCAGGAAAACAGGACTTGTTCCCTCAGTGTTTGCATGATACTTCATAAAAGTATGTCATGTAGACGTTAGCTCAGGTATAGCGTAGATGTTGTCATGCCAGACTTTGAATCCTAGTGTCTGTGATTCTTGTCCTATTACTGCAAAATTGTGCTTCACATTTTTGGGTCATAGGTGTAGTATAAGAGTGATGGTCAAATCCACTGTCTGGCTAGAGTAGCCCAAGAGTTTGCTGTTGATTCTGTGGACTACATTTCATTCCGTCTAGTGTGTTAGTTCAAAATTGCGACGAGTTATACAATTAATCCTTGTGTAGCTTTGCACAAATATCCAAAATAAATACATTAGTATTAGATTGCACACTACATTAAGTGATTGCAGATACTTAAAAAATATGTAACTTTAATCTAAAATTTTTATAATTACACTTTTTTAGTTGCTGCTACTATAGATCCTGAACTTATCAAATTCAAAAACTTTGTTTTTCTTTTAGAAACAAATATTTCTATGAATTTAGTGTATCATATATGTGCCCATGGACTGTTTTTCCAACCTAATAAACTAGTTTATATGCAATAAAAGAAAGTATGTTTTTTGGTGATAATTGAAATTGTATATGCAATGATAAAAATATTAAGTATTAAAAATGTTTTATATTTATTATAATCACAAAGCTAAACATATGTATTGTAAGCTCTGAGCAAATCTATGACCATTACAAAACAATGTGATATTAACCCAAAGATTTCACTGATGTGGTTCATATTTACCCCATCAGATTTTGAAAATTTTTTGTAAGCTATATTTTGTATATCAAATGTCTTGTAGGTCTATGATTTTGTTGGTTACAGGACCTTTAATAACATACATGTTACACAAAACATAGAGTAAATGTTGCTATTAATTCTACAAAATGATTTTCCCACCCTTTTTTTTAGATCAGTTCCTTACATTGAGTAATGAGCAAAAACATAAAATTCCTTAATATTCACTGGTAGTGAACATTATGTAAAAATGCAACAAATGTATTGTTTATAGCTTGGACAGAAAAATTGCAAGTACTTGTAGACAGTAGATTATAACGTTTTTCTAGAGAATATAGTTATTATTTTGGCATATTAAATTTTATAAAGTAGTTATTTCAGCCTGCTAAGGTTTTATAACTTGAAGGTACAACTAAGTCTGAATCTGAAGTACTATATCATTAGGCCTAACTTGGTCTTTTTTTTTTTTTTTTAGTGATTCAAGTACTAGGCTATAGGATACTTCTAATATTATATATTTAGATGCATTTGACATAGATTTTAACATCAGAGGCATAGCACAAAATGTTTGGGCTTTCTCTGAAAATCATGTTTACCCCCCCTTGGAAGTTTTGGGAAAAAAATCTGAATTTAGGGGCAGCCCAGGGTTCTACCCTGAGATATTCTAAACTTTTTTCTAGGTATCAGTGGTTTCCAATGAGATGATACTTAGTAGTAAACTTTACTACTTAGTAGTAAACAAAGAAGAATGTCTTATAGGGAGGTCATGTTTGTCTATCCATTACCTAGTTTCAGAGCCTAAACTACTTGATTGATTTTGATGAAATTTGGTATATGGGACCCTTACTCAAACAGAAGTCCAAATGGCACTCTCAAACAACATTCATCTGTCTGTGAAGGATATGGGTAATTTTCAGTATGATGTATCAGGGCCAAAACTACTTAACTAATTTTGGTGAAATTTATTACTAAAAACACTGACACTGCTGATGCTTTAATTTCTTCAAACTAGTTCAAGTAGTTAACAAAAAATTGGTCTGTTGTTTTAAGCAAGTCTGCTGCATGAGAAAGATCTATATTTTTAGGACTACAGCACTTTTGACACCATGTTAATATTTTCTAGCACTTTTGAATGGATCATAATCATTAACACGAACTCATGTTTCCATTTGATTTCTTAGACCAAGAGCCTCTGATCTTTCCTCAATTTTCTAGACTGTAGAATTATTTTACTTATTGTTTTCATTATGTCGTCAACTTTGAAGCATAATGCCAGAATATTGTCGCATCTTTAGAAATACTGAGCTTTTTCAGATTAGGGTTATTTGAAATTGTATTCCATTCTGAAAGAAGTTCCCACCTTTTAATGCTTCTGCAAAGAAATGCGTACAATATCTCAGTTATGTCATATAGTTGTCTGACCTCTGAAATGTTTTTCAAAGCATGATTTAGCACTAAATTTAAATTATGTGCAGTGTACAAAAACTGCATTAGGCTGTATCTCCCAAGTATGTCTCTAAACCCCTGAATAAATGCTGCTCGTCATGCTAGTACTGTCATTGCCCTGTCCTCTGCATTTTTCTTCAGTAAGTTGTATAATTTCTTCTGTGAGTCCTTCAGCATTTTGAACAGTTATATGACAGAATCCTAAAAATCTGTAGATATTTCATTTTAATTGCAGAGAATTGTGATGTACCTGAACACCTAGCTTAACTGGTCTTGTTTTTTCAAGTCTTGGGTTGTGTCTATACTGATGGAGTAAACATGGGCCTCTTTAATTTCATCAACTGTTTCTTTCTGCACTTTATTTTAAGCAGGGCAATTATTTCAATTTGAATTTGTACATTTAAATAGTCTGAGTGCAATGAACTTGAATTTCCAGTCATTTGATATAAAACTGATTCATACATGTCCAATAATTCTATAATGGATAAAAAGGTACCTTTATTTGTTCCTCTAAGCTTCTCCTGATACCCATGGAAAGCAAGATTACAGTAGCTAAAGTTAGTGTAATGTCAATGATTAGTTTTAACACTTGCCTCCAGAAATTAACTTCTTCTGTGTATTCAGAATCTAGTTGAACATCAACAGCAAGATCGTTTTTCCAATAATCATAAGTAACACGCCTGAATGTGTTCCTTCATGTTCCTTTATTTTTCAAGATAGTTCAATCCTATATTCTGGCAGCCCATGTTTCCTATCAGCGAACAACCAGCATGGCTCACAGTATGCACAATCCAATTTTAGTGAGTAACATAACAATTTTTGTATGATTTTAATATTACTTTTAATGGTTTTATAATAGAATACATTTGGAAAACATCTTTTTTTTTTAGAATCTTTGGGGAAAGGTCCTGCTGGTTTATAAGAGCTGTTTTTTACAATAAATTTCTTCAAGTGCATGTTATCAATATGTTGTCTATCAGGAACTGTTCAGGGAGAAGGTTTTCAAATTTTTCATTAGTTTGATTTTCATCAAATTTTCCTGCATGGGGCGTTAATGTAAGGGTCTTTAATCACACCATGAATTTCATCATAATACATATTAATATTATCTTTACCTAAAAAATGGTCTTCCTAAGATGAAGCAAGAGAAACTTCATCTAAGACATCATGTTTTTCTTCCACATCAAGGACAAATAATGATGGTCTTCATTACAGGCTTAAAAACTGATTTAATTTTTCTCAGCTTAGCTTTATTAATTTCTTTTTTGTTCCTTAGCCTTTCTTTTTTTTTGCTTCACTCAAATATGTCCTCTTCATCTTTAAAGAAGAAATTAGTTTCATTTTCTCACTGAACAATGATGTAAAATTTCTAGTCCAAAATAACTATGAATATCAACAAACATAATACTTCAATTCAACAGTTACCTATAAGATAAACCTCCTGCAGATAAAGAGCCTTTTCCTACCATTTTAAAATAGACTCGCCTGCTCACTTGTTACCTTGACAGTGGCTTTGTGTAAAGGATTTGTTTCATCTTTTCTGCAGCAAAAGTGGCAACAGTGATGTGAAACTTGGTAGTCACTTTGGGCTCTGGGTAGGACCATCTAACAAAATTTATATGGTCTTCTGTAAGCTCCAAAGTGCAAATTGTGAAGTATCCCTGGCTTTCCTGCCATCCTTGTTGTGTTTTCAAAATTCTGCAGACATCTGACATGTGCCAGATCTGCCTGTGTTAAAAGAAATTGGGGTCCCCTTAACTCGGGTTTGGGGGGAGGGGCATTTACTATTGACTGTTCAATGAAGTTTTCACACTTTGCCATCCTGGGCATGATAAGTTTATCACAGTTTGAGCTGCAGTGGTGTTGTTAAATGGTTGTTCAACTTCAATTTTAAGTTTTGAAGTTGGAGTGCTTCCTTTTTACTAAATGTCTGTTTATCTTTTGCTCAGTCTATTATTTTGAAGTGTATAATGTTAGGCTTCTCACTGAAGTCTTTGCTTAGATAGTTGTAAATTCCAGGGTTGTTGTAAAGTATAAAATGCTTATATTTTTGTACAGTTGATGTACATTTTTGGTAGGTGCCCTTCCTCAGGTAAAAGTTACTAATCATATATTAAAGTTAATCAATATGAAATTGAAATAAAGAATTATCACAAGTGTTAGTGTGATTTTTCTGGAAAACCTGGTTTTCTCTAAGAGTGAATAAGATAGGGCTACTCTATAATGGGAAATTCAACCAGAAAATATTATGAAGTAATTCATAATTTTTCAGAAACAAACTGAGTTTATGCAACAAAAGAGACTGGAAATTAAACACATGATGAAACCAATATTTTATTATGTATATGTATTGTTTCAGCAGAAAGAGTGATACCTTTACTGGAGTAGTGCTTAATTGTTTTACCCAGGAAACAAGCTGTTGAATCTATAGAATAACTCCACAATCGAAATCTGTTCTAATCTGAGAAAACATTACATTATATATTTGAAATCTATGGGGTCATACTTTCCCAGAGTCATTCCAAATTGAAAGTGATGGATTTTACAAACTAAAGATACTTGATTTACAGTTGGAGGAAATTCCTTTCTACTTCCATATACAAGGGGCAGCTAGACAGCCATACTCCCACAAGCAGACCAATTGTTATCTTTGGTAGATGATAGAGAACAAAAGGTAGCTAGAATGAAAGTAACTGATAAACTTTCTTGACTATGTGTTACGTAAAATCTGTATATACCTAGAAATTAACAAAAACATTTGATAGATTCCTACTTTAAAATAATAAGGTAGAAAATTCATGATATACTTGCATACTATATTAGCAGGAGTAGAAATAATCTTTTTTGCATGGCAGCAAAACTTTTGCTGCCAGATTTGAAACCAGGTAACAAAATGTAAAAAATCTGATTTTATATGGAATATCAATGTATGAGTAGTTAATATTAATGATTGTAATATTATATGATTCACCTTTGCTTAAAACAGTATACATTATTGTTTTCATTTCAATCAATTCATGGATATTTAATAAAATCAATTAATAACAAGCCTGGATTAAAGGAGGAGCTAATGGAACAGTTGCTACAGGTGTCACACAATGCAGTGAAATTGTAACTAAAATATAAACTTTGGTGAAAAAGAGAACCGAATATAATCAGTAAAACTTAGTGCAAAATAAAAAAAATTATTGTATATTTTACAACGTAATTACACTTAAACTACTACAAGGTTATGAATGAGTTAAGATTATCCACTCATGCATATGAGATATCATTCAGCAGTGAAGAGGTTAATGCCAAACGAATTTTGATAGAGCCTCTTGGCTTTGTTGAATTTTAACATGTTGAGTGGATTGTTGAGAGATGAGGAAGATGTTGACC